ATGGGCAAAACAGACGCCTTATATCTTGAATAGGAGTTGGGCACCTTTTCATCTATTAGGGTCCCCTCCCACTTTCTAAACGTAGATCAAACAATTTGAGCAAATGTATTTTGAGATATTTTGGGAAATTTTGCACACCGAGATGTGTTTATTCATGTTTCATGTTTATTCAATTTGTATGCCGTCCTATTCCCGAGGGACTCAGGAAGATACGCATAGATTGTCTACATACAACCATAGGTGTCTATTTCTGTGCTCATATGCATGAGTATACATTCTGTGCTCATATGCTCATATACATGAGTATATTTACACAAGCCAAAAATTTAAGTGGAATATTATTCCATATATCTGCTTGAGGAGGGAGCTGGACTAGAAGAACTCCAAGGTCCCTTTCAACTCTATTCTGATTGATTGAAAAAGAGCATTTTATGTAGGGGTCAATATTTGAACTTTGATCTTTTTAGGTCTCTGTATGCCAAATCAATCATAATTAATGTCAGAGGTTAAAATACAATTTTAGTGTTTGTTTTTTCATACTAATATATGGGATTGGGATTTATTTTTTTTTGCTTTTACATGTCCTGCAGTCATTTTTAAACAATAATGAAACTAACCCATTTATATTAATCTTACAGAGAGAGAGGATGCCAAGAAGAGCACTCTAGACAACAGAGAATGAGAAACAGTATTAAAGAGCAAAAGAAACCATCATTCAAAGTATTTTCTAATTCCTCTTGAAAGTTTAAAAACTCTTCTTCCTCAGCAGAAGAGAGACGAGGGAAAGAATAACAAGAACAAAGTTTTAAGCTGGAGAAATAAGAGAAATCAAGGAGGATAATAATTAAATAAAGAAGAAGGTTCCATGTGTAGCGAAAACTGACAGGCATTAATGAAAGCCTTTGAAGGAGGAAAGAATAGTTGAACAAAAAAATACACCAGGCAAGAGGTCAGAAATATTTTTCGCCGTCTCAAGAATCCAAGCATATCAGTGTTAGAAAAATCCCACAGATTGCCTAATGTGGGAAGAACAAAGATTGCAGATCACGACTGATTCTGCTCAACAGGATCCATCCAGTGAAAAGCCATACAAAGGTTTGGAGTGTGGCAAAAGCTTTTCTCGAAAAAGCTTCCTCATGATTCATGGAAGAACCCATGCTGGAGAGAAGCTCTACCAGTGCTCCCAATGTGGCAAAAGGTTTAGCTTTCATTCCAATCTGGTAAAACACAAGAGAAATCACACAGGAGAAAAACCGTACAAGTGCTTGGATTGTGGGAAAAGTTTCCGTTGGAATTCCAANTGTATAATTCTAAATGCTATTGTTAGAATAAAGAAATAACTAAATGTGATGACCAGGATCTTCAATTGCACTTTAAAGGAAAGAATCCAGTGCAGCTCAGATAACAAAGGTGTTACCCGGACAATCTAGGTTCTCCCATTACTGTGTGGGCCGTTGCGTTCTGGACCAGTTGAAGCTTCTGGGGGACCCAGGGTAGTAATCCAAACAGGAGGCGATCAAGGAATAAGTGACCCACTGTGCAAGGCCTCCCGGTCCAGGAAAGGGACCAATTGGTGCACCAGATGAATCTGTGCAAAGGCCCTTCCCAGCCATGGCCTCCTCAAGCAGGAGCTGTGAGTGCAGGAGGACCCCCCGTTTGTGGGCCAGCTCAAGTCACAAAAGGTGGTCACATGACCCCAGGACACTGTAAGTCAATTGCCAAGCGTCCCTACTTTGATCATGTGACCATGGGGATTCTGTAATGGTGGTAAGTGTGAAAAACGGTCATAAGTCACCTTTTCAGTGCTGTCTAACTGCAAATAGTCACTAAAATGAAATGTAACGTCCTGTACATAATTGGGTATCTTGGTATGGATGGCTTCTCCTAGCAGTTTCAGGTGGATGTTAACAATCAGTATCAAAAGCCTTGAGCCCCGAGGCACCTCAAATTGCAGGGGTCAAGATTCGGCCCCTCTTCTACCCACATGGATTGGAATGTGGCATAGAGGTAGAAGTAGAACCACAATAATAAAGCTCTTCCCATTTCCTCTCTCCAAAGCGTGTCTAGGAGGATGCCATAGTCATTGTTATTGACACCAGATGAAAGATCTAGGAAGGACATAATGACTGTATCCTATCTCAAACCCTCCCAACAGTCCATGAGAATGACGTTTTGGTGATGTGCCCCGGCCTGAAGCCAGACTGAGAAGGGCCCAGTGTCTTTCCTCCTGCACAGCCCTTTCTCTGGGTGGCAAAGTCAGAGCTGGAAACAGAGAGTGAATTGAAGTCCCAGGCTGCCAACCTTTCCTTGCCCCCTTCAGCTGAATTTATAAATGATCTCAATCTGCCGCAATTCCTTGAACTTCTTTGCCAGAAAAATCTCTTTATGCTTTTCTTATGTATTACAAACTGCTGTTGAAGGCATAAAACCAGCCAGGATGCTAACTGTCCAGAAGGGAGGGGAATTACTCTTCCAGCCCACTCTTGAGCTTGGAAAAGAAATAGGGGTGGTTCTCGGGTTGCAACACCAATTGGCCCCAGAATATCCACTGCTAGGCAAGGATGGGGCACCAAGAAGAAATATCCAGCTTGATAACTAAATTGGGAAGTAAGAGAAAATAAAATCAGGAGAGACAACCTACAGTCTTAACAGGTTTGCTACTTTGCAGAGGCAAGTTTTCAGCAGTTATCCTCCTAGCCTTCCGTAAAACAAGGAAGATCTAGCTGTCCCCCTAAGCA